GTCCGCTATGACTTTGCGGTTAGCATTTAGTGATGATGTCCCATGTGGAAAGTGCCAGCGATTGTTCCCTTGGCATGTTTAAGCAAATGCTATTATGCTGTTTGCAATGGCTTTGTTTTTCTCAGCATGAATTAGATGTGTTGTTGCACCACTGCGATATAGCACCTGAGACAGAGTGAGGGTGTCACAGCTGTGATGTGTGAAAACACATGAAATTATAAAAACATGTGTCTGTACTGTGGGAAAAGCTTTGACAGTAAAATGACTCATTAACCTAGGCACCCCATGACATTTACCTTGGCTTAAAAAGAGGCTTTGTTATATATTAATGTGCATTTCCTATGAGACAGTAATATTATATCATATTAATCCTTAACCTGTATAATATTTCTATTTTTATTTGTATTTTTAAATCTTTTGTATATTATTCTATTGGAACATTTAACCATCTATTTTATGCAACTTGTAGCTTTCATTATCTAGGCCTTAAAGCTTATAGAATAACAACAACAGTGTAATCTGAGCATCAACTTTATGTACCGGTAACTGGATATCAAATGAAGTCCCCTAATGTTATCCCCAGAGTAGGCCCTGCTATTTGTGTTGGTAATGTCTATGCAGTGGAGACCAAGGGCAGGTTCTTCATTAGTGTTTCATTAGAAAAATCACACGGCCCACCACCAAACAAAAATGTCACAAAAGCATTTTGATAACTTTTCCTCTTCCACCAGGTGTAGCAGAATTGGTTCAGTTTGTCCCCAGTGCACCCTTTTTGCTTTCGTCTGACCACTACTCATGCTAGGGCCTCATCTAGGTCAGGATTTTGTCCAGGACCAGTTCAGATTGACTACTTTTTCTTTTCAAATATTTATTTATTGCTATTGTTTATTGCTGCGTCGTCTCACAGCATGACTATTACGTCATTTCTTCTTCGTCTTCTTCTGTTTTACTGGCAGTTAGCAACCCATTTAATTAGAGCAGGTAGTTGTACTGCCCTCTAGTGGAAGAGGATGTCATTGTTCTGCCCGTAACTCACGCCGATTGCTGAGAGTACTAATCAGGTGGAACCAGATAATCTTCCACGGCACACCTGATCTTTTCTCACATCACAGCTACGTGCTGTGGCACAGTGGTTGGGAAGCACTGCACCATACCATACCAAATATGCATCAGGCAGACCTCCAGGTTTTAAACAAATCCCCAGGTTATCAGAGGTTACTTGGAAGAACAATAAAGGTAAAAAGTGAATATTTGCCAATTTGACCCCATAGTTGTCAAAAAGTGCCGTTTTCCTACAGTATGAAATTATCAGTGTTAAAATTGCTTTAGGTGGTGGTTTGAAAAAGCATTGTTGCTGATGGTTGATTGTTTGTCGGGATTCCAGGCTCCAGATGCCTCCAGAAAAAAGAAGGAAAAGGAAGGTAAAAAAGTGTGATTCTCAAAAGGTGTTCTCAATTAGCACGCAACGGAAATGTAGACATACAATCAACTGAGCACATACAGCATGCTTTGAAATTTATTAGCATTTAGTAACAGTGTTAACAATAGTAATAGTAGTAGTAGTCCAGTAATCTGAGTGTAAACTTTATATTTAGAACCAGTTGTTGTTGTTTTGAGAAAGTTTAAAGTTTAAGTCTTCAGTAGCAGAAAGAGGTGACCTGCCAGGCAAAACAGGTCCCGAATCCTAGATCATTGATTATTGCAATAAAAGGTTAGGCTCAATTTGTTTAGGTAATCAAGTCATTAGGCAAGCTGTCAATCATATTCAGTGACAGGTATGTTGATAAATACACTATATATGGACCAAAGTGTGAACCACCTACACATTACATATAGAGGAGCTGGTCAGCCATGAGAACCCAAACCACGAAGCTCCTGGTGTACAGTTTTTGTGCTGATGTTAATGCCAGATGAAGTTTGGTACTGCAGTTATAGAGAAAGCAGAGCTTTGGAATCTCTGTGGCTGGGTTGCTGTGGTTGCTAAACACTTTTGAATTTACAGCATTATATCATATATTTTTGTAAAGGCAGGCTGGGTGGCTAGGTGCTTAATTTGTATACATGTGTGGTAACTCGAAGATAACTGGATAAAAAACATCTGAATTCAAAGATTAAGAGCTGTGGGTCAAAATTATTCTCCATGTAGTGTATTTGTTGTTAGTAACTTAAACCATACTCATTCCATAGTTGGTTTGTATCTTTACAAACTTCATATAAACCCACCTTAGAACTCTGCAGTAATGGAAGGTGATCAGACAGTAACACTGCACTTTCCCTGCACTCCTGTTGGGTTTTTGCTTGGACTTGGACTCTATTCACCTCTGTTCACCCGTTTGTTTATTCCGTTTTGTTGTTGCCGTGCAATGGCTTTCCAGAATCATCTCCAGACAGACTGATGGGGAAAGAGAGAACACGGGGTAATAAAATGTTCCTTTGCAATTTATTTTCTTTTTTATGTTCTTCTATATTCCTTCCCCAAACCTTTTAAGTGCTTGTGGACACTGGACAAGATCAAAAGAGTAGCCATCAAAGCAAGATTGCTTCACTTGATGTTTATCTCCACACTTAGAAGAAGCATTTTGAATTAGCCATCACTCTCTGCCTTTGGGACCTTACGCACCTCTTAGGGGGGGAAAAGTCTCTTTCTGTGCAATAGCGTTGCTTGGAGCTTGCCTCTTCATTTCGATCAAAGGAGGAAGAAAGACTACCGTCAAAAAGGGTTATGTCAGCCTGAGAATTTCTGGTAGCCTAATGCAAAGTCTTTCAAATCAATAAGACATCAAAGCTGTCTCCCGGATTAACCCCCACCATGTTTTCTTCTGTTAAAGAAGCGTTATTGTCTTGTATTGATGCACAGAGGTTGATGGAAAAAGTGAAATTAAAGAGGACATGGCGTGCAGATCATTTATTTCCTCTCTAGCTGCGCATAGACCGTACAGTACCAACCTAATGTGTTTCTTTTCTCTGTGCTTGCAGAGACTGAAGATGCCAATCAGGGCCCACCTGTCTGGCCACTGATTGTCTTGTCTGATGAGCCAGAGATGTTTGTTATAAGCATGGTGTGTTTCAGCAGAAGGGTTTTGCTGTCATGTAATATGAAGCCATCCTGTAGTTTAACTGACAAAAATAAAAGTATATGTAGCCTTTAGAAAGGAAGAATGTGATTCTCTGATGATTAGACTAAAGAATTCAGTACTGAGTCATTTGAAGGATCAGAGGAAATTATGTCTGCTTTTTGTGTTCAAAACTTTACAGAATGTTGTTGGAGTACCTGCCCCCAAAATTTCTGTGCGGTAAATTGAAAAGAATTTTATCTTGGAATATGGAACATCTAAGCTCAAGGCTAAAAGACTACAGGTCTTAAAATACGATTTTGTTACTGTTCATTCTTTAAGCTATGACTTAATCGTGCCAATTACTATTGTACCTCAAAGCTAGTTACAGTACACGATTCCTAGCCTACGAAAAATACTGTATATTAAAGCACACTTTGAGTAAAAAAGCCTTTAATTTGCTCAGAGATTTACACTCATCAAGGCATGGGATGAATTTTGAGCTTTAAATGATTTCTTTGAACTGTTCTTTTTCCAGCGTGGAATGATTGTACATCATATTGTACCTTAATCACTGTAAAAAAAACAGTAACAGGGCACAAGTTTACAAAAGTATACATGCAGACTAAAACGTACACGTTGTATACATCGAAAAAGCACTTCAAAGAAATCATTAAAAGCCACAAACGTGTAAATCAAGTTTGAGAATAGAGCAACTTTAAGCTATCTTTAGTATTGCAAGGTTGCATGTGAGTGCATGTAATTTTAACATAATCTGAATGTAATTTGTCTGTGCTCTAGGTTAAACCGAGTGGTTACACTTTTGTTGGCTAATTCTATTAAATAAATGAATGAATAAATAAATAACTTCCAGAAAGCAGTAAAATGCTGCAAACAGTCTTTTTGTCTCAATTAGTATTTTTGACCAAACTGTTTTTTTCCCGATCACTGGCTTTTTGAACCAAGCTGGTTTGATATCTTTATTAATCAAGAGGATGTAGCCTTATCTATTATCGTAATAGGATAAGCAATTAATGTGTGTTTGTGTGTGTGAGATTAAAGTGAACATCAACACGAGCTTAATGACTTCATTTCTTTTCTACTCAGACCTCATTAAAATGCCCAATAACTTCATTAATTGGTGCCAAAACCTCATTACAATCCTCCAAGACCTCATCATAGCACTAGGACAACAGTGCTATGTGACTATCATTTCAAATTAATAACTCACTCAGAAGTTACTGTACCTTCTTGTCTATAGATTGCAGTGGGTTAAACATAAACACAGAATAAAGTAGTTTTTAAGCCAGTTTTAATATCAGGAAACGTATCCCTGTTACTTTATCACTTTCATCATTATCAGCAATGCTAAAAATTGTGAGGTCATTACCTTCCTTTTGACAACAATGTGCAAATTTTGTTTAACAATTCTCACAAATAGGCTCTCAATTTTAAACATCGTCAACTAATTAAAATGTTGGAACACAAGAAAAGTGAAAAATGAGCAAAAACAATGCTTTATTACTTAATACCTTAATATGTGTTGAGACACAATAAAGAAACTAGCCTGAAACAAGAACTTTTACATTAAAAGTAAAACATTTGATCCGTTGGCTGTATAGTTTTGATATTTTTTCCAATGTTTAATGATGTAACTCTATAATATTTTAGTTTTACTTTGTCTTGCTTGCTTGGATTACGGCATTAAATAGATTTTTTTTTTTTAGCTGATATTGAGTGATTTGATTTCACATGTATTCCTGCAGCTTTGTTTTTAGTCTTTCCTTAATTGCATGTGGGCATGAACAGTGGCTATGTGGGCCTGCAGGACAAACGTGGCATCAAAGAAAGGCAGCCATCTGTTCATACCTTCTGACACCAATTGCGTGGTTGTATATGTGCTTGTATAAACTCGTTTAACCATTCAAGTGTCTTTGTGTGTTTCAGGTGCAGAACCTGGAAATTAAGAAATTTGGAAAAGAAAAACAAGAATAAGACTGAAGATGTTGTCGGCTTTCGTTGCTGTGCTTCGGACCTTCACTGAGCTGTAAGACCATTGCTTTCTGCTTTTCTTGGTTTCCTGCATGAACTATACGGTCCAGTTACTGTTCAGTCTTTTAAGTGTTTGAACAATATCCATTTTTATAGTTTTGTCTCTGTGCAGCTCCTTCTTAGCTTTAATCCGAGAGTTTGAATATTCAGGAATTAAACAAATCCTAGAAAGCCCCCCCATTTTCATAGGCTTAAAAGTAATTGGACAAACAGGCCTAATTTTAAATATACTACTTTTAATACTTGTGTGGAAATCTTTCTCAAACAATAACAGCCTGAAATCTAGAACCAAATGGATGTCACCAAATGCTATGATTTGCCATGAGGGGCTTCAATTCAATACAGTTCATTTCAGTTTTATTAATATAGCATTTAATCACAACAATTGCCTTAAAGCGGTTTGCAAGGTGAGGTAAATACTCTACAATAATATAAACGATACTGATATCCAGGAAAATGAGGTTTCCAGCCTCTAATTTAATAGATGGCTAATGCAGGTAATTAGTAATACTTAAACTTCTATCATTAACTTGTGGCCCGTCAATTTTTCACATGTTAAGCTGCTAGTGAGGGGAGGGGCTTTGTGCCTGCTGTTCGCAGCTATGAAGAATTGTTGTTGTTATAAATGTGTAGCGATCTAATCCAAGAGTAGTTTTAGTATTTATTGTCAGTATCAAAGTGACAATTTTCAGTAACATAGGCAGCAAAGGGTACCCACCATGGTACCCATATGTCACCGTTTGTAGTGGCCAAAAAAAAAAAACTACCTTAATTTGCTGCTTGTTTGTTGAACTTCAGTAACTGAAAACCATGATCTATTGGCCTGAGATCAGGTGACAGACCTAGCTATTGAAGAATATCCCATCTCTTCACCTTGAAAAACTCTTAGGTTGATGTTAGAGTATGCTTTGAGTCATCAGTCATATCCACTGGCAGCCACGATGTTTGACAGATGATGTGGTTTCTTCTTCTTCCTGCATTTCTCTTCCTATCACTCTGGTACAAGTTAACCTTGGCTTCATCTGTCTAAAAATTGTTGTGAAGGTTCTTAGTTATGATTTCTGGCAAAGTCTAACCTGGACTTCTTAGTCTTGAGTGTAACCTGTGGTTCCCACCATACTGTAAACCTTCTGTATTTCCATCTCATAGCCATCTCATAACTGTAGACTATGAAAATGACACAACTGCCTCCTGAAGTCTTCTTAACTTGGTTACTTGTTGGGAAACTGTTTTTCTGTCATCATCCATTTAAGTCATCTTCTGTGGTCTTTAAGGTCTTTTTGGTGTTGCTGACCTGATTGTTCACTCCTAAAACTTTTTCTCTGTCTCTCTGAAAGGTTTATTTATTTATTTTTTTTCCAGCCTAATGACAGCCTCCTTCATTTGCATTGGCATTTTTTTTAGACCTCACATTTAGAGATGGGTTCTCTGGCACTAAACAGCTGCCTCAGTTTTAAACTTGGCGTCAGTTTGCTGTTTTTGTTGTGAAATAATGAGGGAACATCCCTCACTTGGCAGGCATTGTCAAATTACTTTTGAACCTCTGAAAACAGGGGCCATGTATAAATATGGCTGTAATTCCCAAACAGTTAATAAAAAGGTTTTTGCTAAACTTCTTAAATTACAGCTGCAAGTCTGTCACATCTGGATTTTTGATCTACGGTCTACTGTTGTGGTGTGCAGTGTCAAAAGCACAGAAATAAATGTGATTTATGCAGCTTGTCTGTGGTTCTGTGGAGAGGTAGTTGCTTTGCTGCTGTTAGGTATCCATATATACGTTTTTTGTTTAAACTCAGGCAGTAAAAGGCTCCTACATTTTGTCTCTCTTCCACGCGGGGGCACGCTTTTTTTGTTGTTGCTCCACCTCATTGACATCTTTCTTCATTCTGCGTGTGATTACAACACTTAATTGCTTCAGTTTATCATCCGGGCCCGAGCCGGTGTTTCCCCAGGGACTTTGGTTAGGGAGACAGAGAGAGGGGAAAATGAAAAGCCAAGCACTTACATGCACTGGGAGGGCCGAGGCACATCGCTGGTCATAAAGCACTAATGGACACCAAGCTGCTGAGAGAGCACGGTACTCTGAGATACACCTCATCAACGGCAACAGCAGCGGCGTCTCACCAGTGCGACTTGCATAACAGGTGCCACCAGTCCCTCGTCAGGCAGAAAAATTAATGGGACAGATGGTGCTAAGAGAGGGGGTTTGTTTCATGTAATATCAGAGGGATGTGGGGTTTTTTGGTGGTAACTTAACACCAAACAAAAGGACAATGTGCATGGAACAGATTTCCCTGGAATGACATAGTCATCTAGAGTTTAATGTGTCTATAAATAAGAATAGATGAATAAGGATGATAATATTGGGCTGCATGAACGTGTGCTGTAGGGCAGAGAAGACAAATGGTAAAGGGCATCAGAAGCACCTGCCTCAGATGCTCCGATTATTCTGGCTCAATCAACTGGGACACGCTGAAGTAGAGCAGAAGATAATTGCAGGTCAAACTACACTTTGGGAAAAGAACAACTTGAATGTGTGGGATACATACAGGTGCATGAATGGGATTCATTTGTCATCACTAGTCTTTGTGGGCATGCGCAGAAAATAGACCTGAAGGCTGGTTGGAAAACTAAACTGTTTTGGCTCATGCGCCATGTGGTTTTTCATTCAGGTGAGTGGGCACCATCCAGTGTTATTTATTTCCCATAATGCACCCACAGTGACACTAAATTTTTTGTGTTCAAGATAGTCGGACAGCAGCCCCCAGGCTCAATTATAGAGCACCATTCTTAAAGCAGCTCAAATATCATTTTAAATTTGCTGACAAATGCCAAAATGTCTAACCTGTAAAAGCCTAAACAGCTATTAGATACATGTATTTGATGCAAGATGCATCTTGTCGTCTTGGGTCATCTGCTGGGTTCGCAGCCTTTGTGCGCTTTCATAGCGATCTAGCTGAACAGGGAGCCGCTCGAGCTCAGCTGGGATCCTATATTACACGGCACTCCAGCTCCACATTCTAGGAGCTGTCCAAATTGTTTGGGAAAATTGCTACCAGTATTAAAGGCAGCGAGCCTGCTTTACTTTGTTGTAAACATAAAATAGTGTCAAATCAAGAGCTTTCTCCTGCAAGCGTGGCGAGCGGGGCTGCATTTCTTGCGTGGTGTGCAGGTGTGTGGTGCTGTAAACATGTAATCTGTGCTCAGGGGGCCATGTCTGAAGTAGACTAATCAGAGAGAAGATGGGACTTTAACAGCAGGTGTAAATCAGCAATGATTTTCCTTTGTATTTTTTTTTCCCTCTCTTTTCTCACCCTCTCTCAGTTTCTCTCTGCGCATGAATGAGCTCACCATTAAGCGAAACAATGCTAATGGATAATGGTCTGTGGCTTCTGTGCTGCCCTCCCTGGGCTCCTTCTCTATGGATTTTAGCTTCCATGTCCTTCGTATCCAATTTCCTATCCATATAGATTGTCCTTCTTTTTGTTGATGATTTAACAAAGGTCAAGAAGTCTCATCATAGCTTGGTTCGTGTCCAATCTCAGGATCACTGCAAGACTGCCATACAGGCTGTGTTTCTCTTAGTTTAACAGACCGACAGAAGGACAGTCATGCTGCGCTCATGTCTACCCTCTAGTGCAAAATGTTTTCTGTAACGGAAAAAGAAAACATTGATTTTTCTGCAGAAGGACACAAAGAGCAACTTTGACTTTTCAAGCCAATGGTGGGAGGTGTGAAAGGCTCAGTTATGAGTGTTGTTCCAACATCACGCCTCTCAGTTTGCCACCAAGGTCAAGGAAACTGTTTGGAAACTGGAGCAACAGATTAAACTCCCTCAACATGATTTGTATGTCTGTAGAGAAGCTGTGATGTCATGCTGAGCAAACAAAAAAAAGGGTTGACAACCTTTTCATGAGAGGGCTTGAAGAAGAAGAAGAATGCAGTGATGGTTTTACACTTGCTGTCACCATTTGTCCTCTGCTAAACTGAACACAGCCGGTCCGTCCATTCAAACCAGAGCTGCAACGAAGCTCACCTGCAGATAAGGTGAACTTCGCTCAACTTCTGTCCAGATGCAATGTGATAACGTTCCTATTAAAGTGTTATTTTCCGTTTCCGATAGTAGTCTTCCGTTTCACTACTATCACAGGCTGATTCTTTTCAAGGATGTATGTAGATCAGGAGTGTCAAAGATAAGGCCTTGGAGCCGGAATCAGCTGGGTAAAGAGTCCAATCCTGCCCGACTGCATGGCTTGGGTGAAGAATGGCATAGGTTTTGGCTTTTTAATGATGTTGTCTTAAGTGTTATAGCATTTGCTACATTCATACTACATCAAAGTACTATTCATTACTAATATAAAACCAAATTACAGAAAAGTTCCTATTTTTACTCTACCTACCTTAGAAATATAAAGCAGAGAAAGTTTTTCAGTAAGAAAAATAAATTTTGTTTTATAATTACAAGACAGTCTGGGCAACGAGCTACAATAACCTTTTCTGCACTTTATACTTTTTTCCCTTCCAGTTCATGCCCAGTTATGTAGCACCAAATCACAACAAGAGTTGCCTCAAGGTACTTTATATTGTACGGTAAACATCCTACAATAATACAAAGAAAACTCCAACAATCAGATGACCCCCTATAAACAAGGACTTTAACGGGAAGAAACCTCTGGGAGAACCAGGCTCAGGGAGGACGGTTCTGCTGCGACTGGTTGGGGGTGAGGGCAGGAAGTCAGGACAAAAGACATGCTGTGGAAGAGAGACAGAGATTAATAACAAGTATGATTAAATGCAGAGTGGTGTTTAAACACATAGTGAGTGAAGAGGAAACACTCATTGCATCATGGGAAGCCCCGCAGCAGTCTAGGCCCATTGCAGCAAAACTAAGGGAGGATTCAGGTCACCTAATCCAGGCCTAACTATATGCCTTTAAAAAAGGGAATGTTTTAAAGTTTTATGAAAGTTTAGAATTTTAATAAAGCAGTACTTTTT